ATAAGATAATGAACGGTATCTAACACTTTGTCGTTGAAGTCTGTTGAGTCTATCACCAGTTACTGATTCTCGTCACAGGGAGGAATGAACAGATGATCATGGAACACATTTGGTTATATACCGCCAATAAGCTGTCTCTTCCTACACTGTCCATGTGGGGCAGTATGAGTATCCAATGTAAACAAAGATTCCCTAGAACTAAAAAACAAAGGGAGTTTAGTTCAGGCTATATTCGACAACACAAGTGAAAAGATCCGTTAAATTCAACCTCGCCGCTAATGTTAGGTAGGCGTTTAACCGCTACGCTATCCTTCACGTAACACCGTGTATTGTCCACTATGTTAAATGAAACGATACAGTCAATCACTTTCGGTTTATAACCTTGTCAATGTCGTCGCAGGGGTTAAACTTGAACCTTTTGCCCGTTGTGGTTGTTGCGTAAACCCGCCAGTTGAAATACCAAGCACTTTCAATCCCAGCGTGACTCTTGAGTCTGTTTATGAGGACAACGTTAGTTTTAGTAACATCATCGGCTAACTTCGACCGACTTCTCCCGAATCTGTTTCCTCGCTTAATAACTTGGGCTTTTGCCTCTGAAGATGTGAATTTTATTAACACCGGTTTTGTAATTGACTTGTTGGCATGGTCAATTCTATGAATAGCCAATATATCATCTTGGTTTACATCAAAGTTTGCTTTACTTTTCATCAATTCCGTGAATTTTTTTCTCACATCTTCACCTTCAGATTCGGGTAAATTGAACACTTTGATATTGTTCTTTCTGGAGAATTGCTCGCTTTGATTACTCTGTCTAAAAGCTTCGTTTGCACGAGAAGCTACTTCAGCAAATTTCGATTCCATTTCATCCATTTATGCGTTGTTTTTCTAAGTCTTTTTCGAGCTTTTCGTTTTGTTCTTTAAGACCATCATATCAGTTTTAACCTCGCCTCACGCTTCACTTTGGAGATCACAGTTTCGTAATTTCGCTCTTTCAGCTGCTCTCTTAATGAGTCAAAGTATTTGTCGACCACCGACTTCATTAGTTGTTTTATGTCATTTTTCGTAGGCATTTCCGATAAAAGATGACGAAATTCCTGCATATCTGCATTAATTTCTGTCAAATCTGGTTTTTGCTTAGGTGGCATTGTTAATGAATAAATTGCAGAGAAGACAACACACCTGTAGCACGCACTGCACGGTATCTTTCACCTCTGACCCGTCAGGTGGGATTTACACGTGGTTAAAGTTTTCCTTTCAAAAACACAGTTTTTGACCAAAAAATTCACAAAAGCTCACATCAATAGTGTCAGTAGCTTATGCACTTACTTCTCAGTCCATTTGGTTCTTAGGAAGGGCACTCCAAATAATAACTTTGGGCTTTTTGTGAGAGCTGTGATTACACGCGTCTGCACATAGCCAGCCAAGGGAGACAATCTTTACATGAATAACTTAACATAATATTTTGGGGCGCGGTGGGCGAGCTGCCTAAGGCACCAGGCTAGTGATCCAACGAGGTTGAGGTGTCGGGATCGAGCTCACATGTGACCGGGTGTAAAAACCTTGGGAGTCAACTTTGTGTGCAGACTCTTTCAGTGTTGTCACAACCCCTAGTGTACGATACACAACCCTGTGCACTTGAAAGAACCCACAAATCCGTTGGCATATGACCAGATAGTGGCCACATGAATACGTGCAAACACCTAGTTGCGGGGACAGCAACGTGCAGTGAACTTGGACAAAGTACTGTGACTATGTGTCCCAGTCCACCCAGTTGTGAGTGGGTACCTCGTTAGGATGAAAAAAGACACAATAACTCAGTGCACCTAGTGGCAGCAAGAGTTGTATACTCCCCAGGGAGTTGAGAATGATAATACGATGTGCCGTTGAGATATACATCCAATGATCGAGGGAAAAAATACCAGCGCCTTGAGCATGCACCAGTTGCGTGGATATGTGCACTATATAAATATCCTACAATAATAATAATAATAAAAATAATAATAATAAATTCCGATACTGATGTTGCTGTCACTTTACTTGTGGGTTATCCTTTGTATGTCAAGGTCACTGGGTCATCACCTTTATATGTGCTCCAGATTTTTCAATGGAGGGTTCACCAAACTAACCATTATTTGAAAATTAAGAATGAAAGGATCCTTGTCATGATGATGATGGAAGTAAATGGCCTCCAGAAAACTTTCGCTGTATCATAATTTTGTTTCCTGCCTCATAAACCACTTTGTGCATATTGCCAGAGATGAAGAAAAGAAATATGCCAAGTCATAAGGCCTTTGTAAGGAATGTGGTTCCGACTTCCTGATCTATGTTAAATGAAGGAAATGACACAAACATGTTTAACTTATATTCACTGTCCACGACAAAACAAAGAGTACTCCTGAAGTGAGACGAAATGAGCCAGTGTGCAAAGTTTACGCTGGTCCTGTGATACCTGGCTAGTAAAAATTCATCAGGACCACTAAATGGTAAGTTTGCAGTGGACCTGGTGGCCAGTGAATTTTGTATTGATAGTTCATAGTAAAGTAAATCTATGAATGTTATTTTGGACCAGTGAAGTACAGACAGGACCACTAATTATTGTCCACTCACTGGTCCTGTGGCTTAGTGGGAAATTTTGAAAGGTTTCTTTTCCTGTGGGGTATAACATTAAGTTCAAGATCACTTCCCTCATATATATACTCCCCATCAAAAGTTTAGACGCTCTAGTGTAAATGTAGCCACTTACTTCAATTAACTGTTCTGAACTAAATTTTGTAAAATAATCCATACAGTTTAAAGGTACTGTTATACATGTATTGTAAATGAAATTTGCGATGTTGAAAAGTTTATTGTCATGTGTTCAATAAATGATGAAACTCTGTGATAAATGGTGATTTTTTTATATCAAAACCTTACACCAAAACGCAGCTGTTCACATGCATGACATTTGCACATGCTTTTCGGCAATTTGATGCATGATCCTCGTGCAATTAATCTGCATAAGGTTTGCAGATGTTTCCCCCGATTTAGTGGAGCAATTCATCTTCGTTGTAACCATATGTACATACATAACATATAGTGATTGATTTAAGCGAGTCTAAACTTTTGATTGGTAGTATATACAGTGATATGCCTACAGGGTGTGTGTCTGCCTACAGTTCACATATATCATCAGTGTGCCAAATAGTTTCTAAATGTTGCTAGCCAGTCTGGCTGGAAAGACTAGCCCACAAAATAATTCACTAGTCCAAAATTTGAATGTAGAAACTAAGCAAAGGATTACAAAAATAGATGAGAATAAGATATTGTTTGCATGACATGGGTTTCATCATTAAGCTGCTAATATGATGAACATTCTTACCAGGCCATAATCTTAAATGATTTAAAAGTGTATTATAACTTAAGAAGTCGGAGGGAGTGATATATTTACAAAATGATCCCATGAAAATTCACTAGCCAGACGGGCCAGTGACTATGGAGATTTACTGGCCCGACTGGATTTTTACTAGCCATGGGCTAGCGGGTCAGTGGCTATTTCGCACACTGTATATCAAATGATACCATTTGAAAAAAGATGGGCCATACAGACAAATACCGACCAACCATGTTTTGTTGTGTCCCCTTCATGCAAAGGACCTCGCACGGTAACAACAATACTATTGTTCATTGTCGACTAGGATCAAACCACTCACATTCAGCTTCCTGGGCAAACACTTCATCTACTGGACCATGGAAGTGGGTGAGCACATATGCAGGAAGTACTGATCACAGCTTCATTTTACAGTAGTTCCCCACCATAATAACAGGTTTTTAACAAAATAAACATAGTCAATCTCCCAAGCTTATTTTGTAGTGCCCTTGTATTTATCAGGCCTAATGATGAAAAAAATATATCCCTAAACCTGTAAATAATATAACAAGTCATTACATTGCGAAACGTCCCAAGTATCCTCTCTCCACATAATATTTTACATGTTCTGAGTCTTCTGCTTCATGACGTACAAAAGCACTTGAATACCTTAAGCCAAGAAGAGTTACCTCCCTTGGGAAATCCACTGACTGCAGGTATGCAAATATAGAACGCGTTTTTTCATTACAGAATGTGTTTGGATTAAAATTACATCTGGCCACCTAAAAATTAAAAACACAATAGCTTTATCGCCTAAATCTTTAATACCTAAATATGGACCTAGTGAAGAAATTCTATTGATATTTACTTTCGAAACACAAAATCTTACACTAGGATAAGCATAAATTGTTTCTGTAGAAGCATGGTAAATCATATTATTCCAGTCAATTGACTATTTTCAACATCATAATAATGAAGGAGTGAGTTGGGTGTTTTAACATCATAAGAATTACTTCATTCATATTCCAGTTGGGGACACACAAAAATGGATTTTACACACTGAACCAATCTGGGAAATCAAAACTTGGCTTGCAGCATGCTGAGTCAATGTTTTACCCACAAGATTACCAGACCACAGCTTATATCATAAAGACACTAAACACTGAACAATCCCTGGCAAAGAAACATGTGGGCCATATATGACTTGTGCTCATACTATCGACCACTGATTTGTCTGGTTCAGATGCCATCAAATAGTATACCTGCCCAAATGGTGTAAATCATGACTTGAATATTGCTGATTGCAGTGGACAACAAGAAGTAAATCAATTAACATTGTTCATGTATGTTACAGCATTTATGGAAGGCAAGTTTCATGCAAAAATGGCTACAACAATTTTTGTGTATAAAAAAAACACAAGAAATTACTGTTTTGCAGTCTGTAAAAATATTTTTCATGTGTGTGTACAAAAAACAAATGTGCATTATCCTAACCAACAAAAGATCAGGTGAAACAGGATGTAACATTGTGTTCAAGACTATTGCACTCATATTGTGACGTCCATGCAAATAAATGTGAGAAAGCCAGGAAGGGTTGACAACAAATACAACCTTTCAGAGACTTCATGATGAAGCTGAAGATCTAACCACCCACCTTTTGCTCAGCTGGTAGATGCTCTATCGACTACACCATGTAGGCAGCCCAAACAAAAAGAAAAGCTATAATATCTTCCCTTTCAATAGTCAACATTCATTTAGCCATGGTCGTGATCATGGTGATGATCTAAATTTTATCATATCTAATGTTGCCATAAAAGTTTTACTTTGAATTATGGTAATCTTGTTTTTTTCAAGAATTCTAATCATGTAAAGAAGTCATATAAACATGCATATGCAATGTGAATAAAAGTCACATGGCATTGCCAGTATAAGTCTTGTCAAAATCCTACCTTAAAGTAATATTATATACCGGAAAAACATATGCTTTTGTGAACTTGATATTCATATGAAAAATTCTGCTTCCATCTTATCTAAATCAAACTGTATAACCTGACTGACAATATACACAGGCAAGGGAAAACTAAAACATTTGAACTTGATAGTTGTACTGTGTATATTTTGTTGTACTCCGGAAGTCCCATACTCCATGACACTGTCAGGTTATATACAAGCCGCTAATTGCAAATTTGATACATAATTGGTCTTATGACATTGACGTATGTTGGCGATCCGAAGGAATTTTAACCCTATGCCATTCCTACATGGAAGTGCTCAATAATTGTTATGATATTCATAAAGAACATTTGAAGATTGGGTTGTTTGGTTTGTTTTAGGGGTGGATTATCTGTATGTTATGATAGAAAGATTCTCTAGATTCCTGTCGTTACTTGAAAGTATTACAGACACTTTTTCAGGCATGGTTGGGAATGTTGTAGTATAATGTCTTGTCTCTGAAATGAACATTGTACTAGTTCCTATAAATCATATTTATAAAATATAACACAAATATAACACAAATGTTGTCACTTGCAGAAACTATGGTAATTTAGACTTGACACATATTCTAAACTGGCATGGGCTGTATTAGGTATGTGTGTGTGTGTGTGTGTGTGTGTGTGTGTGTGTGTGTGTGTGTGTGTGTGTGTGTGTGTTGTGTTTATAAGCGCAGGGACTCAGAAAAAGTCCAAATACGTTTTGTAAAAATTCCAATCAAGTGACAATAAGTTATCTCTGAGTTTGCTACTAGCTGGGTTATGTTATTATTTGCAATTTAATTACTGTATAAGTGTAACAATGTGATGATCATGATACACAATGCAATAACAGTAGTAGGGATAATATTTTAAAAGTGTCTGGGACCCCCATTTTGATGTCCAGGACCCCTGAAAATTAAGAGTATGATTCCAAGGGACCCTCAAATACAGGACTATATGAAAATCCCTGTACATTTCAGATGTACTTGTGTCAGAAACATCGACAGTTACAGCCCCAACTGGCTCATTTATGAACTTCGTTGTCCTCATAATAAAGACATTGCCATCCATATATCCTTATGGGTATCACTTCTAGATCTAAAAGCCATTCAAAACCATCACGAACAGTGCTGCTTTTAATGAGGTGATGTAGGTAGAAATGATGCTTGACTCTTTCACTGTCAGGTTTTAATCTCAGAACGACCATCATCTTATCATAATAACCAATCAACTGAATGACTCTTCGATCCGGTTATTTCTAATGACGCAAGGTTGGACCGAAAACATTCGGAGCCAACCATTCTGGCGTATCATAACGAAATTAAGTGCCATTTGTGGTGTCATTGCTTACCATCAGCACGTTCGATAAATCGAAGGACGCACAAATGTCTTAAAAGAAGTTATACATTGCAAATTAACTAAAATACTTACATTTGCCATGATTCGAACGATGCAAGAAACCGGAGAATTCTTTATAACATTGATGGATTCGCAATAGAGGTGAAGGTGAGATGAACAGGGTCAAGGACGGTGCATTTATGCATTCACCAATAAGGAACCGTGTTACAAAATCGGTTCTTTCGAAGGTCAAGGCCATAAAGTCAACACATCCCAACTGCAAGTTCACATGTGGATGAAGTAAACAATGACAGCAACACCCTGCATGCTTACAGCTTAGCCGAGAAATACACAGGTCATTCTTATACATTGCTAGTTCTCGAAAGGGCCAGGCGATCATACATTTTGGGTGTATGCAAAATAATATTATGTCAGGAAAGATCTAGCGAGCCACATAAGCAAGGTTCTCCGACCGTCGTCCCTTACTGCTAGCTAGTATTACCCCATCGTGGTACTCGCCTAAGGCTTAGACGAGTACCACGATGGGGTAATACTAGCTAGGTACATACAGTCATGTAATGACTGTAAAATCCCATCGCGACTCTCGACTAGACTTCCCTGTGCATAAACTCTCAAACTCCGCTGTTCGAACCACTGACACTCTGCACTGTGTAGCATCACTAGTTAGACTCTTGTATAACTGTGAGAAAGGTCTTTTACTGATGAAAGTAGACGGTCCTATGTAACAACTATGTGGCTATATCAATTATCATGAAGAAAGTTTAATACTTTGATAAGTATTAAATTTTTTACTCTTATTTTAGAAGTGCATTTGTGTCAATGAAAATGCATGAAATTCAATAACAATTCCTATGATTCAACTAGCAAATCAACCAGTCTGACTGTCTAGTCTATCCATTTTGCATGTGGCCAGCCTAGATTGCTGGGGACCAATTCTTACCTGGAATCACCACAGTTTCAGCCAGTGCAAAAGTCCAGATGTTCCTTGTGGAATAGTGCATATATAATAATGATTGGTTGCAAGATCCTTCCAACAATTTTATTAGCAAGAAACATCACATCTATTCCAAAAATGTGTTCCTTTTCAATGTCATTAATGTTTGTCTTAATTTCTGCCTGACTTATGAACAACAGAATCATATTGTAAGTGAGGCAATAAAATATGACTCATAAATTACAGTCTTTTGTTGTCTTGCACAAACAATGATCAATACTGTTAAGATGCAGCTGATGACTTCAGATGTTTTGAATGATTTATTATATTATACAATTAACTGTTACACATCACTGTCAGTTTTATCAGACAACTATGGATTTTTCCCTGTGTACATAGCAACAATGTTATTTAAAACAGGAAAACAAGGGGGAGGTAACTGTTACATGTACCTCGGGGACTTGTTTCACTTGAGCATAAATATATTTAAGATAAAAGAATTTCTTATTTGCAGTTTCTGACCAAGTCTTCTGATGGCAAAGGCGATGAAGAAGAAAAAGAAGGATGGCCCTTCAACCCAGCTGGACACATCCGACTTGAAGCTAATGGGCATGCCGGACTCCACACATGAGTGAGTTATGTAGTAATAGGTTTATTTGAGTCTGTGACACATTTAGTGACACAATAACAACAATGCAGGACTTTCTAAAGTGGAAATTGGGAATTGTGAAACCAAAACTAACTGAAGGTTCTCTTTGTTATTTAACACTCCACCCAGCAATATTCCAGGTATGTGGTGGCGGTCTGTAAATAATCGACTCTGAACCAGACAAACCAGTGATTAAAATCATGAGTATCGATCTGTGCAATTAGGATACGATAACATGTGTCAACCAAGATGGCAAGCCTGACTACCCGATCCCGTTAGTCACTTCTTACGACAAGCATTGGTTGCTGAAGACCAATTCCAACCCGGATCTTCATGAGCTGAAGACAAGTAATGGGTAGAAATGATAGATACATGCTGGAGAGCGAGATAAATTGATCAGTGTGAAGCCGGTCAGTGATTAATAATGATGTGTAATATAAAACTAGTCATTCTTTTATCTGTATCTGACAAGGTGGCTAACTGTAGTCTTACATCATGCAACCCGTGAAGGTTCGAGTTTTAAGTATTGACCTTCCGTAACCCATGCTTGTCGTAAGAGGCGACTAACGGGATTGGGTGGTCAGGCTTGCTGACTTGATTGACACATGTCATCGGTTCCCAATTGTGCAGATCGATGCTTATGCTGTTGATCACTGGATTGTCTGGTCCAGACTGGATTATTTACAGACCGCCGCCATATAGCTGGAATATTGCTGAGTGCGGCATAAAACTAAACTCACTCACTCAATTACATCATGCACATGCTATGTCAACTAGTGTTGCTATAGCTTGAGCCGCAGATAGGTGCAAAATAGCTGCATTAAGCAATACTCACTCACTCACTCAGTTGCACAGCTCAGTTGCAGTGTATCTATTGTCACGAATACACCACTAATATTTATATTGTCAGACGTGGTCTTCATTCAGTGTCCACATAGAAGAGACAACTAAAAAATTATACCAGAAACATTCTTGCTGCCATTTTGAATACAATAAAACCCATATCGAATTATGATATCATATGCATTGTTGTCTAGTTTCCCAGTAACAACAAAGCAGGTTAAGAACAAAACAATACATCACGACAACAGCTAATTTCTTGAAGTGCTTATCTCATTAGTGTATATTTCTTCTGTTAATGCATAAACTTGTGTATAATCTTTGAAGAAAAACGTCCAATTGCAGAGATTCAGTGGATGTGTTATCGTTGCTGTGGAAACCAGTTACAGTTGCTGTGGTTGTTTTTGGGGTGTACTTGCAAACTCTGCATCCCTCCCTACCAGGAGGGGACTCAGGTAAGTCATTTCCTCACTGTTCCTTGTTATCCCCCCAGCATGTAATGCGAGGGGATATAGTCAACGCCTCGTCCGTCCGTAATCATTTTGGTTCGCAGAGCATAACTCAAAAACCGTCCAATCTTTTTCAACAAAAATTGGTAGATATATCAAACAGAACCTAAGGTGGTGCCTTTTGCTATTTACAGATTTTTGTCATTTTTATTTTTCTCGGTTTCCATGGAAACATTTTGGACTTAGTCTTAAAGGGGGGATGGGCTTCGTTTCCGGAGCATAACTCAAAAACCGTTCAATATTTTTCAACAAAACTTGGTAGATATATCAAACAGATCCTTAAGTGGTGCCTTTTGCTATTTGCAGATTTTTGGCTTTTTTATTTTTCCCGGTTTCCATGGAAATGATTCGGACTTAGTCCCAAAAGGGAGGGGTGGGCTTCGTTTCCAGAGCATAACTCAAGAACCGTTCAATATTTTTCAACAAAACTTGGTATATCTAAAAGAACCTTAAGTGGTGCCTTTTGCTATTTGCTGATTTTTGACATTTTTATTTTTCCCGGTTTCCATGGAAACGATTTGTACTTAGTCCAAAAGGGGTGGGTGGGTTTCGTTTCCGGAGTACAACTGGAAAACTTCTTAATATCTTTCAGCAAAACTTGGCAGATATGTGAGGCAGATGCCAAAGTGGTGCCTTTTCCTATTTGGCAGAATTTTGGCATATTTATTTTCCCGGTTTTCATCGAAACGATTTGGACTTAGTCCCAAAAGGGAGGGGTGGGCTACGTTTCCGGAGCATAATTCAAGAACCGTTCAATATTTTTCAACAAAACTTGGTAGATATATCAAACTGATCCTTAAGTGGTGCCTTTTGCTATTTACAGATTTTTGTCATTTTTATTTTTCATGGTTTTTCCATGGAAACGATTCGGACTTAGTCCCAAAAGGGAGGGGTGGGTTTCGTTTCCGGAGCACAAATGGAAAAATTCGTTATATCTTTCAGCAAAACTTGGCAGATATGTGAGGCACATCCCAAAGTGGTGCCTTTTGCTATTTGCAGATTTTTGTGATTTATTATTTTCTCGGTTTCCATGGAAACGATTTGGACTTAGTCCCAAAAGGGAGGTGTGGGCTTCATTTCCGGTGCACAACTCAAAAAGAGCTTTTGTTCAGTATCTTTCAACAGAACTTGGCAGATATATTAGGCAAATTTTGAAATGGTACCTTTTGCTATTTACAGATTTTTGGCATTTATATTTCTCATGATTTCCATGGAAACGATTTGGACTTAGTTAAAAAAAAAGTCAAGCTGGAGTTTAAGTAACTGTCAGATAATTTGTTCTTTCAAGTATGTGGGGGCCGGGGGATATGTAATCTTCTGATAACTCTTGTTAAAGCCTGGTGGTTAAAGTAGTCACATGTCATGTTGAAGACCTGGGTTCAGTTCCCCACATGGGTACAATGTGTGAAGCTCATTTCAGTGTTCCCTGCCGTGATATTGCTGGAATTTTGCTAAAAGAGCTCCAAAACTAAACTCACTCACTCGCTCACTTCACTTTCCCCAGTCAGAACTGCTAACAATTTTATATACTATCATGCCCATGGTACCATTGTTTTGAAAGTTCCTTTAAACATGTTGAGTATGATCTTTTTGTACTTTTTTTATTTTGTTGAATGTATCACCATTTTACTGAAAAAAATACAACAAAGATGTAAGAAAAAACATCAATCTCTGTCCATATTGGACAGCACTAGAGTGGAGATGTTATATTTAGTCGAACAAAACAGAGCATGACATCATTACCTGCACTCTATGCTACAATCTGTTAAAATGAGCATTTAGTGACGATGTAATATATGTATACAATTCTGTTGAATATTACATTAATGCCATGCTGTACTCCTGGTTAGAAATTAATTATAGTCTACTTCCTTGAATAATGTGAATAGTAGGGGCTGTGGGGTAGCCTAATGGTTAAAGCGTTGGCTCGTCACACCGAAGACCCAGCTGACTGGCTGAGTATGGTTTTACGCCGTTTTTAGCAATATTCCAGCAATATCACGGCGAGGGACACCAGAAATGGGCTTCACAAGTTGTACCCATGTGGGGAATCGAACCCGGGCCTTCAGCGTGACAAACGAATGCTTTAACCACTAGGCTACCCCACCGCCCCCGAAGACCCGGGTTTGAATCCCCACATGGGCACAATGTGTGAAGCCCATTTCTGGTGTCCCCCGCCGTGATGTTGCTGGAATATTGTTAAAAGCGGCGTAAAACCAAACTCAGTCAGTCAGTCATGTGAATAGTAAACGCATATATCAGCACCCCCCAAAAAGGTTTGGAATTCTACAAGCCCTTTACGTTTACTATTAACAAAACTGTTCCAAGGTAGTGGACTGGTACTAATTACTATCTCTGGTTTTCCCACAACAAAATTGCTGATTAATGAAAAACATGTCAAACCCTGATAGCGTCCACTCTTTCATTAATACCATGCCTGAAAATATCAGTACAACTTTCAACGGTATATGGCTTGCCACTTAGAAAGGTAGCTGAGAGCAACAGTGGCTTACAATAATCAATCCATCAATCTTTATTTGCTCTTAAGAGGTCAAAGGCCTATAATACATGTACCGGTATACAGACACTATTATTATCAGGCAATAGGGAGTACATTTTTCTGTGTAGAAAGGCATGGTACAGAAACATTGAAAACTTTTCCAGGTGTTACTGCTAGAACAGGTTAACAGAGATATAAATTTATTTATATTATGGTGTACAAAGTAATATTTCTGTATATACTTATTTCTCAAAGTGGGGTAGGCTAGACAGGCACAAAGAAAAAATGATATTCATCTTCAATTAGATTCAAATCACACATTTTACATATTCTATCTTCTTTTTATATTCCAATATATCTCCCTGCTTCTATTAACAAATCATGGGATGAGCAACAAATTTTTTTTGGAGTGATTCTGTATTTCCAAACATTCAAAGATGATAAATAGGTTCATTGTATATAGATTGCTTAAACATTCTGTAATAAAAACATTTATTTGATACAGATAATTGGTCAAACCAATTCTGGAGATATACAAATATCTTGTAACCTTTGTTTAATGAACATGAGAAAATTTTGAATCGAGTCTACGCACTGTTCTAGCCATATATTACTGAAACCAATAGAAAATTGTAAATTTTTAACATCTGTGACCCAATTATCATGTTCAGGATGTTTGTTTGGTGTAACTGTACCGGAATAATGATTTGATAAAGTTAAAGCATGCTCTAATAAAAGTTAAATCATGAGATGTCATTTTCTTTTTGAAGTTTAAGTACAAGCGGGTGTACGGACCTATACGGTCGAGCTTAGTGCTTAGTAGCAGCTTTGAAAGTACAATTCCGTCAGGGTAATAATGTAACGCCAGAGAACAGCATCGCGTTGGATTCTAGGCGTAAAAATTGGCATTATTTTTATTATTATTACATATTTAGCTGTAGTCATAAAATTCTAACATTTTTCAGGTGAACTCATTGTGGCAGCTAGTGAATTTGGTGTGAGTATGACGTGGTATTTCTTTAAATGTATCTTTATAGATACTAATCTCTAGTTCTATTTTTTAACTACAAACATCATCACACACATTGTGCACATGCACAAATTTAACATTATTACCTTATAATTATCTTGAATACTTCTCTGGCCCAAATGGTTCTATTAGACGTTTCTCCAGTAGTAACCAATGCTCCCAATGTCTCTTGGCATTGATTTCTTACCATGGCAACCATTTTGCAAAAGCTGCCTTCTACTGTTCATGACAGGTAGCACATCCACCAGGTTACCCCCTGTTCACGGTGCTGGCACAGTGCATGCTGGAGTTCTTCCCCTTTGGTAATCCTGCATGGAGAGTGAACCTGCTGACAGCCCTCACATCAGCCATTGTCGCAGGAGTGCTGTTTGTGGTCGTGGAGAGGTCAGGAAATTCTTGTTATAACCTAACCTTAGATTGAATATTACACCACAGATACGAGAAACGTGTGACATTTGACCACTTAATTAAATGGCATTGTGTATCCTAGCTTCATGTTTGTGAATCAGTTAAATATAATGTGTGTTCTGTACATGATTCCAGCTATCTATATGTTGATTATGTTTATATGTTTATTTACTTGTGTATTGATTATGACCTCCCTGACAGACTGACGAGCTGGTCATCGGCTGGTGTTCTGGCGGTGGCCATATTTTCCTTCAGTCGACTCACCTGGACTTGGGCAGTGACGGCTGAGGTGTTCGCACTCAACAACCTGTTTGTAGCCCTGATCATGATGCTGGCGGTCATGTTTGAGCAGAGTCAAGGCAACAAGATGCGGCTTCAGACGGTAATATTTGACATCTAGGGAACTGTTCATCATTTATGACCGGGTGAGGGGGTGCTGTTCATGTTCACGTACAAAATTGATGACCCCCCTTACCTCCCCAGGAAAAAATGGGTGGGACACCCCCCCCAATTATTTTTTTTAATATATATATATATATAAATAAATAAAAAAAAATATAAAAAAATAAACAAAAAAATAAAATAAAAAATAAAATAAAAAAAATAAATAAATAAAAAATAAAAATAAATAAATAAATAAATGGAAAAAAAAATAAAATATCATCCACCACACACACACCCCACCCACACCCACACGGCCAACCAGCCATTAATTATGAATGGTTGCTAGATACCAGGAAGTATTTAGTGGTTTAGTGGATTTAGTGGACATGATGGATAGTCTCTGTTTTGACCTTCATTGGATGAAAGATGTCGGTTGCTTGAGTTGATGTCAGTCATTTTATAAATTGGAAACATTCTCTCCATTTAAGAAATGGTTAATTTGATCCAGTATATCAGTGTTTCAAGAAAAATAATTAGATATTTTCTTTAGAAAATTCCTGTCAGATATTTGAAGGTGTTAATTTAGTGATACATATATGTCTGTAATATGTGGAGGGAGACAGAGGCCTGGGTGGACACATCATCTGAAGTGCCTTACTTTACCATGCAGCATTGCATCAGTTGGGCAGGCCAGAAACAGAGGATCATGGGTTCAGTTCTCAGTTTGCTCTGATTATGTTTCTCAGTTTGTCAGCACCATGCCAGTGCTGGCCTGTTTAGCTATTTTGTACCTAAAACTATTTAAATATTATACTTCAAAATTATGGGAACGGGGATCATTGATTTTGGACATGGCATGCAGGGGTGTCACTTACTTTGTACATAAATTTTAGGGGGGTCATTCACATTGTACATGCTTCTCCATAAAAATCATCACCCCCACCAGCTGTAAATTATGAACGGCCCCTAAACTGACATGTACTGATATGGAATACTGTTTGTGTTAAAACTAACTCACTCTATTACTGGATATATGTATATTTTATTTAATTATGTCCATTTTTGTTGTTGATACTGTATCAGAACTAATATCAAAATATCTATAATAAATATATAATCCTTTTTACTATGTCTGTACCAGCAATGTTTTTAACTTCGTGTATATCTGCAGTGTATAACTATGTGTATATCTGCGATAAGTTGTGCGATTTATTCAACTACATATATATCTGGAAAGTATTTAAATCTGTGTATATCTACCATAACTATGTGTAGTGTGTTTTATGCCAGTGCAGGGGCTGTGGGTAGCCTAATGGTTAAAGCGTCCCCCGACATGCTGAAGACCCGGGTTCGATTCCCCTCATGGGTGCAATGTGTGAAGCCCATTTCTGGTGTCCCCCGCCGTGATATTGCTGGAATATTGCTAAAAGCGGTGTAAAACCATACTCACTCACTCAGTGCAATGTATTATAGTTATTGTGGTATATTTTCCAGTATCTGTTTGTTGGTTCAAGTGATAAATGACCCGCACACTCTCTGTCCATCATATGTCCACAATCTCATCAGACTCCTTGTTTCAGCTTGCCCTGGTGGGTTCCTTCTGCTGTGGCCTGAGTCTGTGCAACCAACACACGTGTGTCCTGTACATAGTGTGTGTCGTGCCCTGGGCGGTCACTCTCCTCTACACAGCTCAGGTCAGGACTGCCTATCTGTAAAACCTGGACATGTTTTGGTTTATGTCACCCAAACCCACTTACACTAAGTGATTCTAGCATTACAACTTTATATGTGTGGATTAGTCAATGAGAGCTCTACAACTACTGTTTGTCTGTACTTAACATACATGAGTATCTAAAGGGAAGTAACTCTTTGAGTTGTAATTTCACCTGAACTCAACACTTACATAGCTCTTCGTTATATTGTGTTCATTTCTTCCTATAGTCCCATTGGCTCAAAAGTCGACCGATGAATTGCAATCTGGATTATATGGACTATACCTAATAATGTTTTTGTAATTTTTTTTTTTTTCAAAGAAATCTGTAAACTAAGTGATTCTTAAACTAGCCTTACCATTATATTTTCCCTACTTGCAGCTTCTAAGTTCAACATTTTGGTTGGATGTTTCAGCTAACTTTTCAACTGTTTATGGTATTTTCATGACTTGTGACCTCAAAGCTTGGAAGATGCTTTAACTGTTTGTGTTAGTTTCAGTTTAGTTTCTGAACGGATCTGGAATTTGGAGGTTTAGTACAAGAAAGGCATTCAATTTGTTTGATAACAGTATTTAAGTAATTGCATTGTTCATATAATAAATAAATAAATAAATAAATAAATAAATAAATAAATAAATAAATAAATAAATAAATAAATAAATAAATAAATAAATAAATAAATAAATAAATAAATAATAAAAATAAAAAAATAAATAAATGTACTGTTTGCCCCCCTGTGATGTCTGCGAGTTCTAGGCATGTGAGTGTTATACATTAATTGCTCATTGTGGATGGTTGCAGGCATTAACTGTAGGGATGGTGTTGAAGTTGTCTGTGACGCTGTGCCTGGGTCTGCTCCCCTACGTGTACCTCCCTGTGTCTGCGTACACCCGGGCAGCACGGTGGACGTGGGGGGATCAGCGCACCACCATGGGCTTCGTCACTCACCTACTGAGGATGGAGTACGGTACTTTTGACTTGGTGGGTACACTTGAACAGCTATACTTGTTGTGGGGGTTATGGGTTAGAGTAGATCCTGATGGTCATAAAAGGTGACCAGTTCGACTGAATGGTCAGACTAGGTGACCTGGTTGGATGTCACTGTAACTTGATGACATGGGTTTGTGTTCATTATATATGGTCAGACAAAGCGTGACAGTTTGTTTTATTATCACTCCAAACACATGAAATATAGGATATTATTAGATTGGTTTATGTTTACAGATGTGACTATACCCATAACTAAAATAAAAAATATATATTTAGAGAACTGTGGGATATCTAAAGCGTTCACTTATTACTCTGAGGAAATGGTTTTGATTTCCCACATGGGTTCAAAGTGTGAACCCCATACTTAATGCACAATAAAGCCATCCTCACTCACCGGACAAAATCCACCCAAAAATTGCCACCCCGGACAAATTCCACCTCCTCTTAACAGAAAAATGGACAAAATCCTACCTTCTCAAATTGCTGTAGTTAAAAGTTTTAGTGTGTCCTGATCTTTGATCAAGATGTTTTTCTCAAGCGTTGCAAGCATTGTTTTGATAGCATTTACGTTTTCCTAATTGGCTGTTGTTCCTAGATGTGATTTTGGTTGTAATTAATTTCTGTGACTAAACATTGTCATTAGGTTTTTTTTCTTAGGGTGGAATTTATTAGGGGTGGATTTTGTCCGGGTGGATTTTGTCCTAGGTTGCAATTTTGGGGTGGATTTTGTCCGGTTGGATTTTGTCCTGGATTCCTCTTACCTGTTTTACAAAGAACTGATCTTCATTTTTTCAGCTAAAGGACCACACTGGTCAGGGGTTACTATATGGACTCAGGTAAGTCTGCACACCTGTGACAAGACTGATGTAACCATTTTCTTGAAATATATAGAAGCAATATGTAAAATGAAAGCTATAAATTATTCTGTACTAATACTTCAGATTATTAATCACAATATTTGTGTACATGGAACTCACTAACTTTTTAGTGGATACTATACAAATACTTGCTGATGTCTGTACGTCAGGTACTATGAGGGTCCTATCCTTGAAGTAATCTGACCTAACTGAGGCCACAGTCCTAGGTCATTTCAGGTCAACTGAGGGGTCAGTCTAGGGGTCCTTCTAGCACAATGACCTGTCAGTGTTGTTTGCTAGAAAACAAAGTCGATAATATATATATATCACATGCAGGTCTACAGTGACCATGTGCTGATTCAATATTCAAGTTCAGCTTCTGTCACATGATTTGACCTTTTCAGGTCACTTTGCTACTGTAAGTCAGCTCTGGAATATACATGTATGTTTTTTCCACCTGATACAGATATAACATGTTATATTTGTGATGACACTTTCTTAGTAAAGTACAAATTCTAGTACTTTTTGAGTTGAGCCACATCCAGGATTCAAACTCACACCATCAGAGTCAGGCACCAAATCGCCAGCACACAAAGTCAGCCGCCTAACCTGCTCAGCTACCGCGACTTCATATAATATGATACAGATATAATGATACAGATAACTTATAACTTATATAACTTATAACAGATAGATCCTTGAGAGTCTATGTAATGCTTTGTTTGTTCTGATGTAGGCTATACCTGGAGCATATATACATGGATTTGACACCAGTAGGGTACCTGTTGGCCATATTCTCTGTCATTGCTGCTGTCAAACGGTAAGGATGCCTTAAATTATTTTCATCTTGTGCGAGAGATATTTTATGGGTGATTCAAACATTTAATCTTGTTTGAAACATGCTTCCATGCCAACTTTTAAACTGAAGTTTCGAGAAATCCAAATTTTTAACAAAAACTGTAATATTTCCCGATTCTTGCCAGTCAAGGGTACTTAATATGGAATCCTAGGTGAATCTCCGGATTCAACAGCCTACTTTATCTGTCTGTTGTGTTCAACAGCCTACTTTATCTGTCTGTTGTGTTCAACTGCCTCCTTTATCTGTCTGTTGTGTTCAACTGCCTACGTTATCTGTCTGTTGTGTTCAACAGCCTACTTTATCTGTCTGTTGTGTTCAACAGCCTACTTTATCTGTCTGTTGTGTTCAACTGCCTACTTTATCTGTCTGTTGTGTTCAACAGCCTACTTTATCTGTCTGTTGTGTTCAACAGCCTACTTTATCTGTCTGTTGTGTTCAACTGCCTACTTTATCTGTCTGTTGTGTACTAATGCTGTGATGAGACAAATCACCTGGAGCTTTGCTCAAGCTGATTTTCAAGCCTAGTGATTTGTTTATTAATTTAGCTTTTGTGATTTCTATATTCTTTTAATTTATACATTTGTCCATTGTCAGGTTGTCGCAGCAGTACAGGTCTTCCAGTGTGTGTATCTTCTACTTGATGCTCTTTGCATACATCGTCTTCTTTGGTTGGCGAGCCAATCTGGACGTGAAGAACCCGCTCCTGCTGGGTGTGGTGAGTAGTTGGCGCACGGCCTACAGGGTTGCTGGTGTTGTAGTAGTTTTAGAATTATTGGAAATAATAGCTATTGTTCTTATAATAATTAGTTCGATTTCTCATTAGCCCAAAAATTAAAAAATTTGCACTCGCCCTGTAGGGCAAGCAATATGAACTTTCCACTCATCCTTTTAAAATTGTACTTTCCCTATAAATCATGCATCACAATGAATATAAATTTAATTTATTTTATTTCAAAATATTTGCTTGGAATAAAACTACAATAATTATGACTTACTTTGCCTTCTGTAAAAAATCTTTGACAAAATTGAATTCGTTCACCATTTAAGATAGCTGAACTTCAAGGAAAAAGAAAAATGTTACTTTTGGGTCATAGAACGTACTCATCCTCTAGGAGCAAATTATGTTTTTCACTTGCCCAAAACAAATTTTACTTGTCAATACGAGCGGACAAGTGGAATTTTCGAGCCCTGTCTGGCTTTGTTTCAAGGTTTGTCAGTACCGTACCAGTGCTAATGGGTTTTACCAAGTTGTTAGCAAAAGTTTGGGCTTTCCTGTCATATACCCATGAAGGTCGGGGTTAGAATTGGTCATCAGTAACCCATGCTTGACTAACGGGATCGGGTGGTCAGGCTCGCTGACTTGGTTGACACATGTCATCGTATCCCAGTTGCGTAGAGCGATCATGCTATTGATCACTGGATTGTGTGGTCCAGACTCAATTATTTAAAGACCGCTGCCATATAGCTGGAATATTGCTGAGTGCGACATGAAACTAAAGTCACTCACTCACTTTCCTCTCCTAGTAAACTGACATGGTGTTTATGTCGCAGGTGGAGAGGTTTTGGATGCAGAGCGACATTGTTGTGGCAGTACTTGCGGCAGTTACATTTGTAGACTTTATCAAGTAAGTCCTCCTCCACATCAGACTGCAGATCTGAATGCCATTTATATGTTGGATGTTTTGGGTGCTGAAGCACTGTCCTGTGTAAATAATTGTGGGAATCAGGTGAAACAAGGCAACACTGGTCGTGAAGATTAGTTTGATTGTTGACTCTGTGAGTCAGACGGACTCATGAGAGTCGCTATTGTTTTAATCTGCCCCACACATCACTTTAGGCAAGTGACAAATGCCTCTGTTTACCCAGCTCTGAATGGGTACCCCGTAGGATGAGATGGAAATGTCACTGTCAATCTGCAAGCACCTCAGGCATCCTGGGACCCATGGAGATCTGGCTTAGAATTGATCTTCAATAACCCATGTTTGTCTTAAGAGGCGACTAATGGGATTGGGTGCTCAGGCTCGCTGACTGGGTTGACACACATCATTGTATCCCTATTGCTCAGATTGATGCTCATGCTGTTGATCCCTGTATTGTCTGGTCCAGACTTGATTATTTACAGACCGCAGCTGGAATATTGCTCAGTGTGGCATAAAACTAAACTCACTGACTTACACAAACTCAGGCATCCTTGGTTGTATACTCCCAAGGGAGTTGAAAATGAAAACTGATCCATTGATTTAGGCTGTGCTTTGAGCTTGCTTTAAGGTGTGGATTTGGCACATAAGAAATACATGTATACACAATATTATTAGATGACATGCAAAGTGTTGTTCACACACAGTATTTAGGGAGAGTTGTAGCTGATGTTATGTGTACTATTATACTCCAGTATGGTGCACTGGCTCATCGATCTCCACAAGTGGCGGCTGGATCTCATCTTCGCAGTGGCTGTCACAGTCTTCCAGCTTGTGAGTATCAGATCCTCAGCTTCTGGCAGATAGCTGTAACCTGTGTTCTCAGTATCTCTATCAAGAGGTCGTACAGCAGAATATCTAAAACTCTGTAAAACTCTGGAATGCTGTTGAGTAATATGTGTGACGCCTTTTCTTTGTTAAGCACAGAAACTTCCCCCTGTGTGACCAGAGCACCAACTACGTGGTCCGAGACTTCGCTGTGTCGTTACTGAATAGCCTCCCGAATGGGTCCGTCATCCTCACAAAGGGTGATCTTCCTTCCAACACTCTCAGGTACAACACACTTCTAGCCAGGGGGGGGGGCGGTGGGGTAGCCTAGTGGTTAAAGTGTTGGCTCGTCACGCCAAAGACCCGGGTTCGAATCCCCACATGGGTACATTGTGTGAAGCCCATTTCGGGTGTCCCCCTCCGTGATGTTGCTGGAATATTGCTAAAAGCAGCGTAAAACCAAACTCAGTCAGTCAGTCAGTCAGTCAGTCTAGCCAGGGATTAGCATGGGATACTGTTACTAGGCAGTGAAAGATGTTCATCGTACAGGGACTAAACTGACAGTACATGTGGCGTTATAGCTGTTATTGTACAGTCAAGATTCGTGTTCCAGTGTGAATGTATGATGATGTCTGGTGTCGTTAGCATTGTTTGGGTTATTACATGCAAAATAGGTCAGACTCGAGGATTGTGAAATTGATGTGAAACCTGTATCTGTGCATTTGATTGTTTCAGGTGTTGTGATGGCTGTATCATGTGACTTGTTTCAGATATTTCCACCTGTGTGAGAACGTCCGACCAGATATCGTTCTGTTTGATCAAGAAGTAAGTTTATAATCCTCCAGTGACATCAGTCTATTGTCCTGCCAGGTGGTCCTGTTACCAAGTAAACCTCTACAGGCAGTTTCACAGGCATTCTCGGAGAAATCCTGGGGATTTTCTACAGAAATTTTAATTTAAATTTTATTTCTGAATCCCTGTTACAGTCAAAACTAAGCTGCCAGGGGACAGCTCAGTCCGAAGATATACAGTAATTGAATGGGATACAGGTGGAAATTTCACCCAAATACAAGATTATTTTTAATTATCAAACATATTAAGAATATAATTAATTCAGTCGTCTTTGAATAAGCCATGATATAAGAGCCATTTGGAATAAAATTCGGCGTTACAGCTTTTGTTAAGGAAAATACATTTTTCAATACTATATCTCAATCTCAACTCACTTCTGAACTGAGCAATGTTTGGTAAAACAGAATTGAGCTTGCATTTGTACAAGTAATATTTTCCCAATAATATGAACAAGTCAAAAACAGAGTCAGTAAAAACATTTTCCTTACAGCCAAAAATTATCCACTTTTGATTTGCCTGATGATTTGCCTGAAGTTTACTCCTTGTATGTGAGTATTCTTGTACTCAGGAGGTGGTGGGGTAGCCTAGTGGTTAAAGGGTTCACTTGCCACATTGACCCAGGTTCAATTCCCCTCATATTCACAATGTGTTAAGCTCATTTCTGGTGTCCCCACCATAATATTGGTGGAATATTGCTCTTACACTTGGCAGAATTGATTTTTCAATCGTAAATTTCTTCCATATGAGAGAATCAAATAAAGTCACATACCATATAGGTACAGCGGGTGGCCATATTATTACGTACAAACATGGCGGACCGATTGTTGACGACAAATTTACGCGGGAGTTCAAAGTGTCATAACTCGTTAAATATAAACAGTTTTACCTCAATATTTTGTGATGTGTCCCTTGTTCCTTATTATTTTCAACATCCGCATCTGATAAAATCGAGGGGAATATTTTCCCAGATGTCCCGCACTTCGCGTTCCAAGTCGGCAGCCGATTGAATTTTTCTTCGGCGTCAGGTAGAGCCAACAGTTCTCAATAATATTTGCGTGTAGACTCTGTGCAGGCTACAACATTCCAGTAATGTCATTTTGTTGCTTGTAATTCTGAACGATACGGGCCCGATGTACAGGGACGTTGTCATCTTGGAAGATGTATCGGTATCCCGGAAAATGTCTTGCTATAACGGGCCAAAGCATACCATCGAGGATTTCTGTGTATTTCTGAGCATTTTTTTGTTGCCATTAACAACACAAATGGTACCAACACCATGCCAGGTGATACAACCCCACACCATCAAACTGAGGCGTGTACCTGTCGTCCCGGACAAAGACATTTCAGGAGGTATTCTTCACTGGGCTGTCTCCAAACAAAAAGACGATTGTTTTCCCCAATGATAAATTTACACTCGTCAGAGAAGATTACTCGATTCCAGTAATTATTCACTGTTGCCCCATTGCCCAGGCCAAACGATTTCTGACATTATAGTCATGAATTCGGATTTTTATCCCCCGCCGCGCGTTTAGCGTGAAGCGGGGGATATAGTATTAGGCTCCATCCGTCCGTACGTACGAATTGGAATATCTTAAGAACCGTTCACTAGATTCTTTTCATATTTGGTACCTAGGTTCATCACAGTATTTTAAAAACGGGCATCGCTATACACGATATCAACGCTGTTACAGTTGGTACGTAATAATATGTGTTATTCATACAATCCTGCTTGGTGGAAAATATAGGGAACCTTGCAACATTATGAGTCTGAAGTATACATCAGTATTATCACACCATAATGACAAGGAGACTGATTGTGATGTAGGAGACGTGCCGGTACATGATGGAGTTCCACCAAATATCAAGTTACATTGATGTTGCTTAATTTTACAAAAGGTTGTTTTCTGTTTGCTGTATTCATTAATAAAATATCTCAGTCACTGAAATTCCTACCCATTGGGTGGAGAGTAAATGCTTTTAATATGCTGGCAAGATGATCAGAAAGCAGGATTCTAAAATGTCTTGGTAAGGGTAGCATATTATGTTCAAAAGCAAAGAGCTATTTCCCTGGCTGTCTATACTTACGGGAGTGATTTCCCTGGAGGATTAGTATGAGCGCTGTTTACGGTTCTTTATATGACACCAGGTGTTGACATACAAGTGGTCTGTGGACATGATGAGAGATGCAAGCTCAGGGCTGGTGTTCCCTGGTGACTTCATGCAGCTCGAAGACGGAATAGTAGAAGATGGAAAGACGTCCTTCACCTTCAGATCTCTACTAGATGCCAACATACAGAGGTAAGTGTATGGTTACCATAATCTAAAAATCATAGGCTGAAGATTTATGAAAAAAGACATCAGCCAAATATCTTTTTAATACAGGTGTGGAAAATGACAGTGTGTGTCAGAAGAAGTGATAAGGTTAAACTTCGCTTTGACAATTAATGCACTCATTCACATGTCTTTGTTGCTACTTCTTCTATACTCCTCACAAAATATTATGCAACAAGTACTTTCAGTGGAATATCTTTATCAATCTTGATAGTGATTTTTGCCGGCATGTTACTGAAAGAGAAATATTCAAAGAATACATAACCTTTAGTGACTGTCAAGTTGATTTATCTGATAACATTGACAACATCACCCGAACACTATCACCCTCAGAAACAACATGCAAAATGTGTGGCATGAATGTGCTCCACACTTCACACACGCACCCTGATCAATGTAAACCTACCTGTAGTCATTCCTCTGGAACAACAAGCGGGTCCTAACTTCATATTTATGGATGATAATGCCCGTCCATGGAACATAATGCCCGAGTTGTTAACGATGTTGTTTAGATCAACATCACACATATGGACTAGCCTGCAAGGTCAATTGATCTTAATCCCATTGAACATGCTTGGGACATTATTGGAAGTCGTGTTTACGGTCTCCATGTTCACCCCCCAGTCTCTGGATGAACTTGAGCAGGCATTACAGAGAGAATGGCAGAACATTCCACAACGGTAACTTTAAAGGCTCATTTGGTCAATGCAAAGACGTGTAGAAGCTTGCATTTGTGCTCATGGTGGTCATACGTGTTGCTTAACTTTTTGTGAGGAGTATAGTTTGGAATTAGGCACCTTTTGGGGGTTAGCCATGTGAGATGCCATGCCACAGTTTAACATGTATAGCTGACACAGTATACTGTCTGAGTCGACCATCCATTGTTTATCCCCATAATGCCGCCGCCAGGGGAAGGAAACAACAAGTACCATTGGCTTTCAAGCCAAACATGGAGCACAGAGGATTTCTGTACGTCCTGTCCAATCTTTAATGAGCAAGACTTTGGCAGATGGAGCCTGTAATAGATAAGAAAATAATGGCTAGCTTAAAACAGGTGTAAAACAACATTTAATCCCTTACCTACTCATCACTTTCTACTGCATCCTCGATAATCTCCAGGGTATACGTTCTGATAAATCTCCACTATACTCTGGATGCATCCATGGCTCGGCACGATGATATTATTACCTCCCTTGGCTGGCTTTTTATCCAATCAGGTGTCTACGCTGGGATGTTGAGCGTACCAATCACAACTCACTTTCGCTGCTTTTATCTAACTGATTAAACTTTGCAACAAAATTGCTGCAGAGGTACTCTGAAAGAGGTAGAGGGACTTCTTGCATATATATTTTTAAGGTTTCAAAACTGTCAATTTGTCTGTATCATTTCCCCAATAATCTGAGTCGCACTGCTAACAAACCTTTGCGTCTGTGATCGCTATCTTTGTTGACAATGGCAAGCTCAGTTGTAATGGCGGCTTACCTGATTGGCTACTGTGAGAATGCGGAGCCAGCAAAGGGAGGTTATAAAATTATCGGGCTGAGCCATGGATGCATCCAGGGTATAGTGGAGATTTATCGTAACTTATACCCTGGAGATTATTGAGGATGTTTCCACTGTTATCACTAATGTATGTATTACAGACATGTATATTCTCCTCTCTCCTGGGGGCGGTGGGGTAGCCTAGTGGTTGGCTCGTCACGGCGAAGACCCGGGTTTGAATCCCCACATGGGTACAATGTGTGAAGCCCATTTCAGGTGTTCCCCCGCCGTGATGTTGCCGGAATATTGCTAAAAGTGGCGTAAAACCAAACTCAGTCAGTCAGTCAGTCTTCTCTCTCCTTCAGACGGCCGGTGTTTGGCTGTATCGGTGTACAGGACCATGAACCGTCATGGCAGAGCGGGTATGAACTCTGGCCATATGGCGTCTGTTCACAGTTCATACAGAAAGGAACCACCCTTGATCTTTCAACATGGATAAACAATACAAAAAATATAGGTGTTGACTGGAAGCACCCTCACAAAGGGTAGGTGACACAGACGTTAAACAAAGGCAAGATGTTGGCAGTCCTGATGTTGATTAAAAAACATATGTGACTAGAAACTGCAATAGCAGGGAAAGAGAAAGTATTCAGACTTTTGGCTCACCTGACTGAAATGTGAGCCGTGTTGAACTTCACATTCTTGCTTCACCAATAAGGACACTTCAAATTTTTCAAGAGGTTCATATCTGAAAACTCCATTTTGTGGCCATTGTGCTTCAAATCAGAATGACATCTGGTTCATTTGAAATTTGGTTCAACTTGTATTTATTGCAGTATTTCAAATTTTGTCCTTATTTAGATCATGCTCTGAAATGAAACAAAATCATCAGCGATGTTGTAACGAGATGTTCATGTTTGTGTTGCAGCTTTCCTGAGACGTCGTGGGAGCATGTTGCAACAGGGGAAATATGGGCCGCCATGTGAGTAGGCTGCTCATGCAGCTCAGTTTGTCTGGAGGGATTGTGGAAGCAAAGTAGCATTACGATGCTCAGGCATGACTGTTGTTAGATGTCAAAAAATGGAACATTACCACAACACAAAATACAAGGAGCCAAGGCAGCCAAAATATATGACACATAGCTACATTAATAGTTAACAAATTAGTCTTAATATATTAGAGATGCCTTACAAAGCCTGGCTGCTTTACCCAGGGAGGGAAATAACTTTAAAATTGCTAGTGTACTCCGGAACAGTGGCACATGTAAAATCACTTGCCCTGATCATTTTTCCACTATACCAGCCGTTTTCTTGTTGATTTTTTAAACTAAACGACATAATTAACATTTGAAAGTCAACTGTACACCGGTACAGTGTGATATACAAATTTGCTTGCCTGACAGAAAAAAACACTGGACTCTGACGTCAGGCAATGGGTTATTAACACCCCTGCGACCAGTATATAGACTTGATAGAGACAAGTGGAATTAAGCATTAGCTATAATAAGATATAACTAAGATGCTGATTTTTTACTCCAGGTACCAGCTGCAAGAGACAACAGTATTTTCCCGCCAATACTTTTATTGGAGGGGGGAGTAGTAGGGAAAGGATTTGGGTGGGGAGAGAAGTAGGGGGAGAGGGGAGAAGAGTGTGAAGGGGATGATAGTTTTCTTGTTTGTAATACCTTTCACTGTTTCTTTCAGGACAGCCAGTGCATTCTTTCTGCTTGATAAGTCAGATAGTTACAAAGATGGCCCAGAAAGGACAGCCATGTTGTTGTACTCATTCCAGGTGGGTAGAGTCCGTTGTGAGTCAAATAAATAGAAACCAACATCCGGATTGGTAGAAAAGTAACATCTAGAACCATCGGGTACAATTTGATATCTTATAGATATTCTTGGACTGTACGACTATAAACAGGAGAGAAAACAATAATAATCATCTTACTTGATAAGGAGAGTTAGAGCTAGATTAGCTGCAGATGGACAACTGACTTTGGAACGGAATGCACATATTATGCATCTCAACCTTCCTGCACACAATGACTGAGAAAGAAGTACCTTGCTGGAAGCATTGTCTTCCAGTGTTATGAGAATGTCGTGTCAGCTGTTTTTAAGCAGAGCTTGTTCTTGTGATATGAGGTATGTTCTGATCCACAAAACAAAATTTAGTGAGTCCTAAATTCATGTAAATTTCTGACAAAAGACCTTTAACCTTACTATTAATGAAACACAGCTATTTTCTTATACTTTTTTCCCAAATTATGGTAGGCTTGTGTGTAAAACAAGAAACAAAGGTAGCCTGATGCAGAAATATATTGGTATGCTTGAATATTACATACTATTGATCACATATGAAACATGACATGGTATCACTATTGTTTCGTTGCCAGTTGTACCGAGAAGCTCATCGCCAGCACAAGTCCGTGCCCAGCTACTGGCACAAGAACTTTGCACTGGTTTGCGAGAGGCTCTTCCGGACAGACGTTGAGCTTGACAAGACTGAGTTGCTTAAAACCAGCATTAAACAATTCAGGCGCTACTTGAAGAAGGAACCTGAAGACCCAGATAAAGACAAAATCAAAACAGCTGTAGCTAGTCTACAGAAATATTTGGATCATCTGAAATCTTCATTATAATCATTGCATTGTCATATCTTCAACTTCATGTCCGACTTGCATGTTAAAGATTTCATCAGCCCTCGTACAACCAAACCAGTGAATGATTGTCACAGACATCAAAACAAGTGTGAAGATGACTGACCCATCAGATGCCATAAAGGCCATAATAAACGAATGAATTATCCCACCAGACTGTCGACCAAACTCTCTACCTCACATCACTGTGTTGTTGCCATGGGTCTGTTGGGAAAGAAAATCACTAGGTTTGATGACTCTTTGTCTTCTTGTAACATATATGTTATATATATGGGATGACACTTTCTCAGTAAAGTTCAGATTCTAGAATTTTTATTAGGTTGAGTCCCATTCGGGATTCGAACCCTCTCTCAGAGTCAGGCACCTAACTGCCAGCACACAAAATGGGATTACTCTTACTCAATACATTTTCGACATCTCCTTTGTACCTTACTATAGTAAAAGGTCTTGATCAGATTGTCTAATGCTTTTAAGTACAAAAATGCCCCTTATCTTACAGTTAGGAAGATTTGGATTAAGATCAGATAATTAATTCACTAATGCCTGAGGCATGTGGTTTGTCAGAAGGCTTGAGCAAGTCTTCATATGAAAACTAGACAGTATTGTGAATGTATTTTCTATTTTCCAATTCTTTGTTAAATCAAATGTTTTTATTCTGTTCAATTTTATCCGGTTCATATGAAGTTTCATGTAAATTGAAACCTGATCATGACATTCACATGCAATGTGAAATACAAGGGAAGACTGCTGAAGAACGTGTGCTTGTTTGAATGTGTTTACTGTGTATGTAAGACTATGTCAATAAACCGTATGAAGAAAAGTAACACCGATCTTTGTTGATGTATCAATTCTTGCTTTTATGTGTTCCCAAAGAAAATGTATCTCATCAACCAACAGAAAATTTACAATAACGTTTCTAGTATTTAGAAATGGTTTAATTCTTTGAGCAATTATTTTATCTGTGTTCACTGTAAACCAGTTGCCATGACAGTAGCAGATTAAGGTAGTGCTGTTCGGAACTGTTAACAAACCAGGCAGACATCGCATTATTTTTCAAATCATTGTACATTACAGTGTGTCTAAGTAACCCAGGTGAAGAACAAAAAGCAGAAGATGAATTTGAACTTTTTTGGACAAATGATCTTTTATGATTTGACAGAATCAGTGGTCCTCAAGATGTGTCTCTGTTGTAAGCCAGTTTAGTTGAGCTCAGCCTTGATGTAATAAGACTGAGCTCAACTAAACTGGCTTACAACAGAGACACATCTTGAGGACCACTGATTCTGTCAAAGATCCTGATCTTTACACTGCTAAAGTACCACTCATCACAAGTCAACTGTTGAGGCATATGATCCTCAATGAGTCAAGAGGACAAGTCAAGTTGCGTCAGAAAGGTGAACATTTATGGATGTCAACTTCTGTCATATGAGGAACTTTTTTTTTTCATGCAAAGTTGTTCATGTTGGAACATTCTCTGAAGAATTCCAAGTAACAACAGGAGTTAGACAAGGTTGCTTGCTATCACCTCTACTATTCTTGGTGGTGCTTGACTGGGTCACAAGAGAAACTTATGCTGACACTGGGAAAGGCATTCAATGGACTCTCACCAGTAGACTTGAGGACCTAGACTTTGCAGACGATCTAGCGCTCTTGGCACACAGACTCCAGGACATGCAAGACAAGCTGGATGCACTGGGATCTGTCTCAAGCCGAGTCGGCCTCAAGATCAACAGAGATAAGAAGAGAAAAGAAATGAAAGAAGAAAAATGATTTATTCATGTGTCTAGCCCGGCCATCTTGGACCTATTAGACACTGATGACAAATGGTACAATATGTTAATAGCACTATAAGTGCTAAGATCAGACATTTAAAATATATTGTTAAACATTTACATTAAAATATCACATAAGACATCAAGTTAAAATATCAGTGGAGGTGGGAGTGTTGGACATAAGACGAAAGTTCTGAGGACCCAAAACAAACAACAAGATCCATTACAGATCAACGGACAAATGATTGAAGACATCACCGAATTCACCTATCTGGGCAGCAAAATCAGCACAACTGGTGGCACAGACGAGGACATCAAGGCTAGGATCAGAAAAGCCCAATATGCTTTCACCACATTAAGATGATCTGGAAAGCACTGTCCTATCCCTGAAAACCAAGTTGCGGATCCTCAGTTCTAATGTTCGTTCTGTCCTGCTTTATGGATCGGAAACGTGGAGAGTACCCAAGATCAGCTCCATCGAAATACAGACTTTCATCAACAGTGTCTCCGACAGATTCTCCGCATCAAGTGGTTCGATAAAGTCTCCAACCTTAACATGTGGGAAGCAGCAAACAAAGACAGTCTCTGCTCAGATCAAGCGACAAAAGTGCCGTTGGACTGGACATTCGCTAATAAAGCACAAAACAAATACATGTATCACCAGACAAGCGCTTGACTGGAACCAACAAGGCAAGAGCAAAAGAGGACGTCCAAAACAGACCTGGAGACGAAGCCTGGATGAGGAACTGAGGGAAACAGGCTTAACCTGGGAGGCTACCAAGAGCATAGCCACTGACCGGCAAGCGTGGAGGACAAGTCAAGATGTGCCATAAAGGTACACACTTATGGATGTTAACTTCTGTCATATGAGGAACAGGGCTGTGGGGTAGCCTAGTGGTTAGAGCGTTCGCTGGTCACGCTGAAGACCCGGGTTCGATTCCCCACATGGGTACAATGTGTGAAGCCCAATTCTGGTGTCCCCCGCCGTGATATTGCTGGAATAGTGCTAAAAGCGGCGTAAAACCATACTCACTCACTCATATGGGGAACATGATGATTTGGAGATTTACGTGCGCTTTCCGACATGATACGTATCGCGCACATGGAATGAAAACTATGAAGCAGAGAGCTATACTAGGCACATAAAGAAACTGTGCATACCAAAATTTAAAATCTAAATTTATCAAAACTGTGTCGACACATAAGGATTTAAACTCAGAGATTAGTGACATTTATCCAACATGCATGCACGTGCCACGTTCCGTGACGTCAGTGGGTTCGTCCTTGAGTCGTGCAATACGTTGTTGCACGTGCATTCCGGGAAAGAGAAACAGAGCAAATGAATGCCACACAATACTGTCACTTTGGAAAGCTCAACCCCTGCCCTTGCGATCGTTCAAAAAATTAAACGCATAGCATGCCAAGGCTCACGTCTGCACAACGTCATGAGGCCATTGAGATGGTCCGTGGGGGAATGTTTCAACGACAAGTGGCTGCACATTTCCACTGCCACCGGAACACCATTTCCGCACTGGTGAGACGCTACCAGATCACAAATGACGTCATCGATCGGCCACGTTCTGGACGTCCACGTGTAACAACGCCAAGACAGGACAGATGGATAAGGGTGACCCATCTTCGCCACAGGTTTCAGACTGCAGTGATGATAACCCGAACCATCCCAGGACTTCGCCGTATCCACCCCAACACAGTTCCACAACGTTTACGTCATCACGGGATCAGACCACGACGTCCCGCCATACGGCTATCCTGACACAACGTCATCGACAAGCTCGCAGAATGTGATGCCGAAATCATGTCCGCAGACCCTTGTTTTGGTGGAGAAATGTTGTTTTTACAGATGAGTCCAGGTTTAACATTTCCCATAGTGATGGACGTCAACGTGCCTATAGACGCGTGGGAGAACGTTATGCACAGGCCTGTGTCTTGGAGAGGAATCGCTTTGGTGGTGGTTCCGTGATGATTTGGGGTGGAATAACAGCACGCCAAAAAACTCCTTTGGTGATTGTTCAGGGCAACTTAACTGGTGTGGGCTACAGGGATCAGATTCTTCAACCTGTGGCAATTCCTTTTCTGCAACGTCATGGCCCTGGGTTAACATTCCAACAGGACAATGCCCGCCCTCATACGGCAAGGGTTGCTATGGATTTCTTGCAACACCACAACGTTGACTTACTGCCTTGGCCTGCAAATTCACCGGATCTCTCCCCGATAGAGCATGTTTTTTGGGATGAGATGGATCGACGTCTACGCCGTCTTCCTCATCCGCCAGATAACGTCCTTGACCTTGCAACAGACCTTGAGAGAATCTGGCGTGACATCCCACAAGCCTTCCTTGCAGGTTTGATAGGCTCTATGCGTCGTCGATGCACTGCTGTTCTAAATGCCGATGGTGGACATACCCGTTATTGAGCTTTTGACATGGTCATTTGACCCCTGTCCCGCTTGTGGACTCGTGACGTCATTGTGATTGACTTTTCAATTGAAATTCTCCCGACTTGTTATGGTCTCATGATCCCTCCATTAAAGTGTATATGTACCTTTGACATTGTTATCGTACTTTTCAACTGGGATAATATTTTGACAATGCACAGTTTCTTTATGTGGCTAGTATATATACGTACATGTGAAACAACATCAGAGAGAAAAGATAACATTGTTGGTCGCTTAACAAGGGACGCCAGTAGTTAATTGACGCTGATTGTAAATGGCAGTGGACAAATATACTGAGTCAAAAAAGAAACTTCACAAAATGTAATTTGAAAAATAATGAATAATTTTTCTCTGATGATACATCTATGTATCCGAAATGGGATCCCTATCTTTCGACTCTAGAAAAATGTTAGCAAAACCCACTCAAACCCATCCATTCGTCGTACAAATGACGTTAGTGCCAAATCAGGTTTTGCACGTGCAGTCGATCACGTGATCTTCGCATCAAAGTTTTCTTCATATGCACGTGTTTGCATTGGCCTCAAGAATTGAAAAAACACTTTTAAACCACAGTTCTAACGGTACTTGAAATGCCACGATTGTCAAATGTGCAACGTGAACGTGCCGTTGGCATGTTGCAAGCGGGAAGATCAGTTATTGACGTCGCAAGAACAATGGGATGCAACCGTCGTACTGTGTATGACTTGCGAGGTCATCTACAACAAACTGGCACCACTTCTGATCGCCCAAGGTCGGGTCGTCCACGTGTGACGTCACGAGCAGAAGACCGTCAAATCGTCCTACGTCACCTACGTGACAGATTTCTGCCGGCTACACGAACCAGGGCTGAGATGTTTAGAAGTCGACTGTCCTCACAGACCATTCGAAATCGGTTGCGGGCTGCCAATCTCCATTCTCGACGTCCATATCGTGGGCCAATATTGACGCCGTTTCATCAACGTCAACGTCTGATGTGGGCCCAACGGCACCTCCGTTGGACCCAGATAGACTGGAATCGAGTCGTCTTTAGCGATGAATCCAGCTTTACCCTCAGATTCGCGGACGGCGGGCATAGAGTCTGGAGACAACGTCGTGAACGGTATGCCCAATGTTGTGTACAGGAAGTCGACAGATTCGGGGGCGGAAGTTGCATGGTGTGGGGTGCTTTCTGTGGGAACAACCGTTCCCGTCTTCTGGTCATCCGTGGAAACCTCACAGCTGCTGCTTACCGCGGCCAGGTGCACACCCCTGAACTCGTTCCTTTCATGGCGGCTCATGGCCCACGTCTACAGTTCCAGCACGATAATGGTCGGCCGCATACCGCGATGTTGACACGAAATTTCCTTCAAAACGCTGGAATCAACGTCATGGACTGGCCATCGAGGTCCCCTGACCTTAATCCAATAGAGCACGTTTGGGATGCACTTGGGAGAAGGCTTCGTGGTCTTAGGAACCAACCTCAGAATTTGCAGGAACTTGGCGCTGCCTTGCAAGAGCAATGGCGCAGAATTTGGCGCTGCCTTGCAAGAGCAATGGCGCAGAATCCCCAACCACGTGTTCACAAGCATCAGGCAGTCGATGAGGAGACGGTGTTTGGC